TGCACTAACCCAAACCAAGCTTCTACCCTGCCTCAGCCTCTTCCTTTCCCCCAACAAGATGGGATGCAAAAGTAACTTGGATGCTAATGCTAAAGAGCTGGGGAAGCGCATTTAACGCGCACAACTATGAAAATGATTAATTCAATTCCAAGGAACTAGTGTGCTATCCTCTGTCTCCTGATAACCTGTTAAGAAAATAAAAGTCAACTGGTAAAGCCAAGCTTTCACTGTTTTCTGTATTGTTTCATAGTTTAAGTGCTATTATATGTTTAATAATTTTTCTATACCAGGCCGGTCAGCGAATGAATGATGCACCAATGCCAAAAGAACAGCATGGCCCTGAATGGTGTCTTAATGACATTTTTGAATCAAAGCTAAACATTGCATTCGATGGCTAAAAAAATAAGGACGCCATGCCTAAATCTACATTCAAAAGTACATCTTTGTCTTAATTAGTACAGGTAAAGTGTTTGTAGATAGGTTAAAACATTCAGCCTTGTATGAAGTTGTAAGTAACAGCAGATTAGGGGCCTGGATGTTTATCCATGGGCTCAGACATGTTTTATCCTGGGGGTTAGCCAAGCAATCAGGGGGAACTGATGATTTGGGGGTTGGGTCTAACAGGGATAAACATGTCTGAAGCCATGGATACAACATCCAGGCCTTGAATCTTCTGGTTACTTTTACAAACTTCATAACAAGGCCTGAATGTTTTACTATCTACAAACACTTTACCTGTATAATTAAGAAAAGATGCTTACTTTGCTGTAATGTTAGATTTTAGCATGGCCGTTTCTTATTTTTTTTTACATCGCTATGCATGTTACCTTTTGATTACTCAAAATGCTCATTAAGACACATTTAGGGCATGCATGTCATTTTGCTTGGTCATCATTATTCGCTTGACGGCTGTGTATAAAAATTATTCAAACATATAATAACTTAACTATGAACAATTACAGAAAACAGTGGGAAGTTGCTTTACAGGTTGACTTTTTATTTTCTTACAGGTTATCAGGAGACATGCAGGATAACACTAGCTTCCTCTTGGGGATTGATTAATCATTTCTAGGTTGTGCGCCGCTTAAATGCCTTCCAGCTCTTTACATTAGATCCAGTTACCTTTGTGCATCCATTGTTTGGGGGAAAGGAAGAGCCCTCGTTTAGGCAGCGGCTAGAACTTGGGTTTGGGTTAGCTGCAACTTTAACAGCTAACTGAGCTGCTTTGCAGTTTGCGTTTATTAGATACTCTCTAAAATATGCCTACAGTTCAGACAGCAACATCTAGAAGCCGAAGCTGCAGGTCAGCCCAGGTGTCCGCTCTGGCTCCACATTGATTCTTCTTCACAACTCCATCTTCCACCACCATCGCATATCTGCAAACACAGGGTCAAACACTTCATCTCTGCACCATGAGTTCCAGTTGGCATTATGTTACACAGTGTTTCCCCTACCATTGTCTTGGCGGAGCGCCGGCGCCCCTTACCGGAAATTCAAGGCTGGTTTTTTTTTTTTTTTTTTTTATTATTAAAAAAAAAAATACTACTTATATACTATAGTATATTATATATATATTACTATACTATATAGCTATTATTACTATATATTCATATAGGTTATATGCACCAATAGCTATAGCTATTAGCCTATAGCTATATTATTAGCTTATAGTAGATGTATATATATATATAGCACCAAATTGACAACTGAAGCTAATATATCTTTTTTTTTTTTTTTTTCGGTCACTTTTCACATGAACATGTGCTCTTTTTATTAAAATAAACCTAACCGCCTTTATGTTATTTTCCAATGTGGCATGTTTCGGTCTGTCCACAGCCCTTGGCGCGTATGTCACATTCATCCCTCCGCTGCTTTTCTGAAGGGCGGGCGTGGCGGGGCCTTCCACCGCCCCACACACACACACACCTTGAATGCACACACTCACAATCAGAGACAAGAGCGGAGGAAAAGGAGAGCAACAACAGCTCTGCAGGGTCTGGGCCCGTTTGCTGTGTGCTTCCCCAGTTTAATTTATGCTTTATTTATTATTTTTTTACCGCAAGCCGTTATCGTCACGCGAGAAAGGACACACACAGCCCTCCCAGGTGGACGGCGCGCGAACAACGAACGTAGCGTGCGCAATTCTAAACATAGCTCACAGATTGCCGTGAGCCAGGGTACCGCGGTTTTGACTACAGTTATTGAATTTGACAGAAAACAACAATCAAACGCCAGAGAAGAATAGTCTAAATGGGAGTTGGTTTTGAAAAAATAAGACAGGAGATGGCTGGAGTTGGTTTATTCAGTAAATTAAGGCCTCAAGGATAATGGATGTTCTGTCTACACCTGGTCATGTTGATGTAGCAGGCCTAATGCCAGGATTTTTTGCTAGCTTGATGCTACCGACATTTAGCGGCAGTGACTCAACAAATTGCCCACTTAAAATGTATCGTCAGCAATGGTATGACAAGCAGACTGCCTTGCTTTAATTTAGACTCACACCAATAGGCTTTCAATATGATCTATAACAGATGCTTTCATATCAGAGCATCAGATAAGGTTTTGGAGCTGGCCCTCCAGCAAAGGTAGAGGATGAGGCAGAGAGAAGCAGCAGCAGCACAGGGTTGCAGCAGGTAAGTTATATGCTGTAGTCAGGTGATTTAAATGTATCAATGAAAGGAAGAAGTGTAGGCTACATGATAAGAAGGGAATACAGTTTGAATTAAAGTAATAAAGTACAGTGTAACACTGTACTTTATTACTTTTTAATGTACAAATACTTTGTTACTGTACGATATCAATAACAATAATCCACAGCTCCTCTCTCTGCTCCAAAGGATAAAAAAAATCTGGGTGCCCCGAATTTTTTTTCCGAGGGTGCTACCCTTGGCAGCACCCTGCCAAGGCAGTAAACCTAGGGGAAACACTGGTTACATGATAATGCAAAACAAAAAAGGGTTTTATATTTATTTAACAGGGAAAGTGCACATTATTGCAAATGAACCAGAGTTACAAGAGGCTATTTTCATAAGCAGTCCCTGAACAGATGTTGTGATCATCAGGTTCATCGTATGTTGCTATGCTCAAAATCAAACCCTTGTTCACTCCCTATATAATCATTTGACAGTTCATTCTATAGAGAGCAGTATATTAAGATTTAAAGAGCACACTTATGTATAATTGTAATATACTATACTTATGTATATAATAATATAACTGCTTTTTATCACCTATAAAATGCAATTCTTTGAATAGTGGGATTATTACCAAATCGTGTAAATAACAAACATTACTTTGTTTGTTACATTTTCAGAAATGTTTGTAGTAACAAAAGATGTAAGTATAGGGAGTGATTTACAACACAGCCTGAGTTTACATTGTAATTGATAAAACAAAAAAAGATTCAAAGCAAATGCAGTCAAATCTTATATGAGCAAAATGATCATTACCTCTTGGATCGCTTGTTCCCAAGTGCCTGAACAATCTGATCACTGTCAAGCAGCAGATCAACCGCCTACGGGGCAGAAAGAAACAGAGAGATGAGTACAGGTCACATTTAATAGAACAGAATAATACCAGAAATATAATCGTACCTTTGTAAAAGCTCCGGTAGGATCAGCCAGCATTCGAATCTGCAGAGAGGAGTATCAGTGAGCTCAGCATTCTTAATATTAAACGGTACATTTAATGAATTATGAAATCTGCTGTGCCATCCACCTTTCTTTTCTTAAGGAAGGCTACTAGGAAAAAAGGCTGTTCAGAATGTGGAAAAAGTGAGCTAACATAGTTCAATATCACAAAATATGTAACCCATAACTTTGCTTTAACTAACTTCAAAATCCCAGAGTTAAATAATGCTTTTTTTTGCAATGTTGACATGGCAAAGAACATAAAAAACATATATATATATAAAATATATATTGTGAAGCCATAGGACTAGGAGCAGTGGGCAGCTATTGTACAGCACCCAGGGAGCAATGGGAGTGGGGGGGGGGCCCAGGAGGTGAACTGGGACCTCTCCAAGTACCAGTCCACACTCCTTATTTAGGTCTGGTCTGGGACTTGAACCAGCGACCCTACGGCTCACAGTCCAAGCCCCTACTGACTGAGCCACTGCCGGACTACTGAAATGAGCCTTTTTTTGTCACCAAAAAGTTGTGTGAAGTTTATTATGAGGAGATGTTGTCGTTGGGTATCTGATCTGACTTAAGGTCATAAAATAAAAAGCTGCAAAAACATTTTCCTCCATACCTTTCCATCTGCTCCGTGCTCCTTTCCCCAGGCAGCCATGACGAATGCGTCATTGACAGAGATGCAAGCGACCTCCTGCATACCTTTACTCTTCAGGTCCGCAGCCTGCTCCACAAAACCTGGAAGGTGAGTCTGAAAGCATAAAACAAAGACAACGTCAGCTGCCTGATGCGAAAGGGAATTGTGCACAACACACAGTTAACAGCGATGAAAGTGTGGACTCCACCTTGGAACAACCAGGGGTAAAAGCTCCAGGTACAGCAAAGAGGACTCCTTTCTTCCCCTTGAAGAGCTGATCCATAGACACCTTATTCCCTGGCTCCCCCTCCTGGACCTCCACTGCAGGGAGAGATTCACCCACCTGATGGGGATTGAGAAGAAAAACATGAAAGAAGGTAGACCCACATTCTCAAATGACCATCAACACAATTACCTTCCAGCTAATGACCAGCAAATTGTCATGTAGTGACTGGAGTGACGCAAAGACACTTAAATGAAGCATAGCTATTTGTAATGCTTTGGACTTCTTGAATGCTGATAACTCTGTAATATAAATCATTGAACAGTACTATAAAGCAATAAAGCTAATAATTAAGATTGGAAAGGGATTTAGAAAATGATGAATAGCAATATAGACATTTAGGTTGTAATTGACGCAAATATTGGCTTTTGCCGCTAGAGGGCGACACATGACCACATAAAGAAGCATGTGTCGCATTAAAATGGCCGAATGGCGAATGTTGAAGACATCAACAGTGACGGATTAATCATTTACACATACAACGCATTTCCAACAAGATATTAAACACAAATTACACTTCAGTTATGGCCTTAAAGATATTTTAATAAAACAATATGTATACAGTATGAGCAGCTGTGAAGTTCAGGCACACTCGGATAATCCAGTTGTAAGGGAACTTTTAACTTGGAATATTTTAAAACGTACTTTTGTGGAGGTAATACGGGGCAACGCAAGTTTAATTTTAACTTCACTGTTCTTAAAAAAGTGATATCAGTTTCCGTGCGTCTCTGTATAAAAGGCAGCTAGTGTTACGTTAATAATTGAAAGTTTGCANAACGGCACATCGAACTAAGAAGAGGGTTAAACCTGTTTCCTTGATGTTTGCCTCTGNGGAATGGGCCGGTAGGCCTACATAGACCGGTTGCAATAATATAGCTTTTGATCTTGGCGTCGGGGGTCTCAATAGCGCCATAGAGTCCCCTATCGGTTGGGGCCCTTGGGGGAACTGTTGGAACACCGCTGGGCACAGCCAAATCCAGCCTCTCCTCCTGGCTGGATGGAGAAGAAGGTTGCACAGCCACGGCCACGGATACAGCTTCACTTGTGGAGTTAGATGGCAATGATGGTGGTGAGCTATCGTTAGCCCTCTGGCTCAGGCTGCCGCTGCACGTCAACATTGCTAACGTTAGCGCTCGATTTCGAGGACGATGTATGACAAAAAAACGGTCTAATTTTGTCAGTTTAGCTGTTACATCTCCTTGTTCTCTCTTGTCCTTTCTCTTTTGAGCGCCGCTCTTGTGCTTTGGTTTTCTGTACATTATAAATGCAAGCTATTACATTTATAATGATGCCGAACTTGCTGCTGCTTGCTACAGTACAGTACAGGTTGATTAGACGGTTAGCTCGTCATGCAAGGTATCACATGACAAGGTCATTGGACAGACAAATTACAAATTAATTTAGGTTGCTTGGTTACTTTGAAGACTGTGTGAACCGATCAATGCCATTGGGGCCCCAAAAAAAAAATATAAAAAATAATATTAATAAAAAAATATTATTTAGTTTTTGCGTTGCACCAGCTGCACCGTCGATAGTTACGCCACTGGGTCCAAGGAGATCTGGCTGCAGTGTTGGTCCTGTAAAGCCTGGGCACACAAGGACTGCACAGATGGAAGTGACTTTTACACCTGCCACAACTGTGAATCAGATTAATTCCATCTGGTGTACTGTTTTTAGTTCTGTTCATTGTTTGTTGGAGGATGTGTGAAACCCCATTCAAATCTTGTTGCCTTAGAATTTGACAGCTTTCCCTCTTTTTTGTCATGTAGTGTGAAAAAAGGTAACAACCGTCCCTGTACACTGGGATGGTTGTAACAGTTGAGTGACTGTATTTAAATACATTTTCCAACGTGTACTTATTTAATAAAAACACTTAAATACATTGTTTCAGTAGTTGACACATTGAGAATGTATAATATAGCAAAATGGCTAAATGGTTTTTTACTTATTGGGGAAACCCCAAAAGTGTTACAACTGTCCCTGGTCTCCCCTACATAATGGGGACCCTTATCGAAAAGGTTAACTTTTCATGTAAGGGGGGACCCTTAACTCAAAAGTTAGTTCTGGAAAAAAGTATCTAAAAAGTAACATATATAAGGGGGATATTATGTAAGAAGTAATATTTTTATGAATGGGGACCCTTGTGTATAGTTCAGGACAAAGGGGGGACCCTTATCCAAAATGTATAACTTACATAAGGGTGGATCCTGGTTTCAAAAGTTATTTCTGATCATAAGGGGGACCCTTATCCAAAAAATATGTTTTTTAATGTTTCGATAAAACAATATTGCACTAACCAGCTACATTTTCAACAATTAATTCACACAAAAGTGTCTTAATCACCTGCCAAGTTTTCACACATTGCTTTATATTTATGATTTCATTTTCACCCTCTCCATTGACTTCACTCACCTTCAAAATGAAAGATTAAATTGAAAAAAGGCAAATGTTCCAAACCAACAACAAAGCAGTTTTTTTCGAATATTTCCACTCCACCTCCGTTTTTTATGGACAGGCTGATACCAGCAGAGAGCTTTGGCTCCATCTGCAGCCGGAAGTCCAGAAGTCTGTCTGGAAGAAAACCAATGCAAGGAGTCCAAGAAGGTTAGTCTTCTGGACATCAGGGGGAACACTTGAACACCTGTTTGCTCTTTCTGGTTAAAACTACCTTACTTGATTTTCAGCTATGTAAAGCACCTTAAATGCATCTTACAAGTGTTTGCTGCTTCCTATGGCATGTTCTTCAAATGTGGCACTTGTTTGAATTAGTCACTTGTGAGAGAGACACCAAAGAAACGTCTAAAATTATTAATCCTCATGAAATGCGTTACGTTTATCCGTATTAATTTAGTGTGTAGACCTTATTTAGAAAAATGAGGTTAAAGAAATTGGTTGAAAAAACAATAATCAGCTGCTGCTTTTAGTTTAAACCATAGGTTTAAACATGTAAACGGAACCTTCCAGGATTGTTTGTTTCTCTCATGTTGTCTCATTGCTGGCTTTATGCTGCCCCCTGGTGCTCATAGTACGGGACTGCAGCTCTGTCCTTTTATATATTCCTGTCACAATGCAAAATGCATGACAATGTGAACTGACGTCAACATATTTCAAGCTCGTTTATTTATAGTTTTAACAGAAATGTCATGAGGATTTTTTTTCTAATTCGGTTTATAAATATTGTTTAATGAGTATTTTCTATGAATGTATTTCTTTTTATTGAAACCAAAGCACCTGCTAACTGCCAGAGACAGATACATAAAGAGGAATGACAATTATATATATAAATATGAGGCTAAAATATGTAAGTATCCCTCTTTATGATGATGAAAAAGCAAAGACAGCTACTTATTACAACTCTTCAGCCTTTAAGCAAATTCTGAAGATCTCTAAATCCTGATAATGTCTCAGATAAATGTGGCTGTGTTCACTGCTGCATTTCTTTTATTTCACTTTAAAAAGTGAATCATTTACATTACTGCAGTATACAATGTTCCCTTCTTAGAAATGAGTTTGTTGGACGTTGCCATGTCAGCTTTGTTGAGTGTTTACACCTATACAGGAACAAAAACTGAATCTGTTAGTCATGAACTCACCTGGTTCAAATCTGTGGTCTATATGGAATTCAAAGAACATTTTAATGGTGTATTAGTGCAAATGAAGACTGACACATTATAAATTGTCCACAAGATGGCAACATACGAGCAGTAAGGCAGCAACAGATGGTCCCATTAAGAGTCTAACAGCAGTATTGATTTACTAATGACTCTCTAACAGAGCAGAATTCTTCATTCTTCCAACGCTTTCACGTGTACGCTGCGGCACCATTGCTAACAAATGAAACAGGGAGAGCATGCTTTTTGATAATTCAGATGAAACACAGCAAGAATTACTGCCTTGTGAAATAAAGTAATTCAATCTTCATCTAGATATGCTGATCCACAGCAGAATTATTATCACATGGTGTTCTGATTACTCATTAACCCTAGTTACAGTACCACAGTGGAAATGACGGCCCAGCTGGATGAGTGCAGTGAGATTGAAGCATGACCACCTCAAGGTTAAAAAGAGGGAATTGCATACATCTGCTATATGCTACAAGCAACAAGATGGGATCAATTTAATGCCTACTGACCTTCCTCACAGAAATGTAAAGTGTTACACGTACTGCTTTATTGATCACTTTAGCATAGTAGAACATGAAGGTGAACTAAGAGAGATTCCAAAGGGAACAGGGTGGCATAGAGTTGGTCAAACGTAAGGAATAAATGTAAGCATGCGGAGTCAAACTGCTTAATGTGTGTTTAAAGAGCTGTTTGAAACTGGGCTTAATTGTGCACAACGGTGCCGGTCAATAACCCTTTTCTCCAACAAGAAACAGTATTCCTGACATTCTCACTCTATAAAACAGGGTTATGATGTCTTACTGCCCTTCAATGCAGTACAAATACCTTCGAGCAGTGACAGCTCACAGGTTTGCAGATGCTGTAACAAACGTGGCAAACAAGTCAGAGTGTGTTATTTGTGTTTTTTGTGACCTTGTGGTAACAAGGAGACTTCAGACGTTTCATTGACCTTGAATCCTGTTCACCACAGAAACTACCCACACAGTGATGTAAAGCAGCAATACAGCAAGCGCCTCACCGAACATTATCCCATTTCAAATGAATTTATTCCAAGCTAAAAATAAATATACTGTCTCTGCCAAATAAAAAAAAAGCTCAGCAGGATTGCAACCGTAAAAAACATCCATGGATACACAGTAGCGGAACAGTTACCATAGCAACAACAACAAATCCCATAAGGTTGCTTATCGGCCTGTAACCACAAATCAAATTATTTGTGCCCTTTACATTTTGTTTATATAATGTTTCATAGAGGTATAAGCTTGGTTTCAAGTTCTTTGGCAGGAGGGATCTCTTTATTAGGAGGTTCAGGATTAACGACAGGCTATGAACAGAAGGAATGGAGGCAGGAGTTTTAAATAACATGAACAAAGCTTATTTTCTCCATACTCATGTGATCTTAAGGAGCACAAGACACACATGGGTCGCTGAATCTGCAACAAACTAATAGAAGATAAGAACTCAAATAAATCTAATTAGTTTCACAAAAAACAAGGATAAATAAAGACACAAAGGGACTTAAGAGTAGGAACTTCAGCCCCATGTGAAGGTGACAAAGATTGAGAGGGGGAGGAGAACCCCTAAAATAGGGACTGATCAGGTGAAATTAATCAGTTCAATCAGGGAGAAAACAACGCCAATTAGTCAAGGCATTTATATAGCACATTTCAACACATGGCAATGCAAAGTGCTTCACAAAAGAACACGAGCATCTAAGACATACATACAGAATTACATTACAAACTAATTATAATAAATACAATAAGTTATAGTGCATAAGATATTAATATGTATTTAATTGAACACAAAGCAGCAGCAAGCAGGACAGATGAGAGATGAGAAACGTAGAGGAAAGGAGGTGAGGTAATAGACGTGTGAAATGTGAGGTAATGAAGACCAAAATCAGAGACAAAAGGGATATTTACTACATGTAGTCAGTTTCTGTGTAATAATTCAGTTTCAACAACAACTGATAATATTAAAGCATGAATTATCACACATAGCAATATGTGCTAAAATTGCAGGAATTCAGATCATTTGAATGAGAGTATCTGTTTTATTTTATATATATATGTCAGTATCTGTACCTCACCAAACCACATCAAACCTTACCACAGAAAAAAAACAACCTCTTTTCACAAACACTGAAGCAACTCTACCTTCCATCCCCACCTTGAGGCTGGTGTTAGAAACCTTTCAAAGATTAAGAAAACTAAAAGAAACTAAAAGCCGAAACAGTTGTTGAGATGTCATCAACAAGGATGTAAGGAGAGATTTACATATTTAGAAAAAGGACTGGGCTTCGTGTAGCCACCTGTTGCCATCTTTACTTCACTCTTTAATTCTGCAAGTTGTGCTTCATCTTCTCATAAATCCAAATGTTGCATCTACTTCCGCAGAGGTTTAAAGTCAACACAACAGCTTGAAAAGACCAAAGTCAGACAGCAAAGTATTTCCAAACAATACCGTTTCATATATGATGTAATGAGCATACCAAGGAAATGCATCAATGTGCTGGAGTCCATGTCCAGAGGGCACACAGTGTGGAAATCACTTTTGCTTCTCGAAAGCATAACTCACGAAAGGTTCGGCTTGTTGTTGCAGCTTTATGAATTTCGCTTCCGTTACATCAGAAAACTGGGTCCCCATTTTCCAACAGTTATCGAAGGCTTGTGCTGTCACTACAACGTCAAACATCTCCTATGAGACCAATAAGCCTTGCTCTTACTAATAAAAGCAAAGGAGATAATCAGAGGTGACATGCTTGTTGTATGACACCACAGTCAGTTCCATTTGCAGTGAGATACTGTTAAAGTCTCAGAAAAAGCTAATAAGTAGACCTTGAGTTAAGCTATGAATCCTTCAGTAATTGCTTGTCCCGATTGAGTATACTCTTTCATTCGCTTGTTAGATTGGAAAGTGTTATGGTGGGAATATCAGTGTAGATCAGAGCCTTAGAATGAACAATATTTAGACAGTGAGGCTATTGGTATACTTTAGCATAACAATCCCTAATTTACCAGCAATAATAGCATCATAGCTTTAAGGTGTGATTTCAACTGTGATAATAATTACGATGGTTATTTTGGCTAGCAAAGAGTATTGTTTGTAATAATTTAACAGTCAAGGACCAGGCCAGGACATTCAGATCCTTCCCTGGCAAAAAATTGCGCTATTTTTCCTTTGTATTCGCGCAACTTATTAACAATCAAATTTAAATTCCTCCATGAATCCATTTATTTTCACTGTTATTAAGAAGTGTTCAGCGGGCCCATCTGCACCCTGTTGCTGGCCAGATTTATCACATGTCGTAAATTGAGTATCACTGCCTTGGAAAGTCACTTATAACAAGCTAAGCTAACAAGCAAGGTATGGTGAGCGAGGTATGGTGAGCGCGTTACCAATGGTGCTAACATAAAAAATAAATACTAAAATGTCCTTCACCAACTTCTTTGACTGTCTGTTGGTACAATTAACCACAGAGCGAGACATGTTGTTTCTCTGAGTTCAGTGACTGTGACGGCACCTACCTGTCATTAAAATGGCCATGACCTTCCATGACCTTAATTATGAACAACTTGGAGCCCTAATACATTTAAACTGGTGATCTAGATTAAAAAAAATCAGCTTTGCTCTTAATTAGGTATTTTAACACAAGTGCCAATGGGGGGGGACAAGCTTTTCGAGCCAGCCGCAAGTGGCCATTCCACAAACTGCAGGTTTTGGCACTTTGACAATCGCTCAAATGTCTTATTAGTGCAGGTCTTGTCAAAGTGCAAGTCTGGTACAAGAACAAAAGAGTGTAAATAGCCTCAGAACGTTTAGTTTGAGATTAAGACGCATTCTGTGCACTGGTTTCCATTGACCACGTTGTTATTCCACAGCCTATCATTCTCTGTGTTAAAGCAGGTCATAGCTGTCCGTGGTGAGATATGAGAGATAGAGAGTGACATTGTCTGAGCTGACCGGCCTCCGTCAGACAGACCTGCTAATATGAGAATGTGATGGTTTGTGAGTGCAAGTGGAGAGGATCCATCAGTGTCATGGGTTATACTGTCTGTACTGAGCAGCAGCTATCGCATCATAATCTAAAGGAACTGAATCTCAATGTGCTCTTATAAAAGTCTGGTAAACCTATTAAAGTAACCTTAAACATAACACATTTAGAAAATCAATGGATCATTAGACATGTATGAGGGTGAGTTAAGTTTAGTAGAACTTAACTCACATATGCACAAAGTCATTAGGAGACTTCTGCACAAGATGTGTTGGCAAGATGTACTTTCCACTTCATTTTATACTGAGTCCTCTTAAAGAGGCTTCCGGTGTGCCCCCCCCCCCCCCCATGCTGCTCGGGGTAGTGTTCCCTCCCCTTGGTGCTATCTGTCCTCCAGATCTCAGTCTAATCTCTTTTATTTCTCTCCAAGGTTTGCCATAATCATCGCTTCAGGTGGGTTATATACCGCCTCCATTCCACCATTATTACAGGCAATCATCCAGCAATAAAAACTAAATGAATTTTATACAAATGAAAGCTATATTTTCTTGCTTTGCTTGCGATTTGGCTGCGGGCATGGCGAAAACATTGTTTGTTATTCAGTGTTTCAACACTTCCAGCGTGAACAACTAGTGACGCTTTTGGATTAAGAAATACATGGTACCCAAAGGATTAATCACCTGACTTTCCACTTACCTTTTATTTTATTTAATCACTGAACTAAACATTTATAGCCATGTAAATAGAGCATGTTAATTCTAATATGCTATATGTCACACGTTATCTGCATCTCAGGGATGTACCGACGGCCTCACAGTCAAGACAAGAAGGCCACCTAATGTCATTTATTTATAAAGCTTCACAGTCAAAGCTTTCAAACTAACCCACATCTCTTGCCTCGTTTAAAACTAGTGAACCTCAAATATCCCTCATGTACTCACAACTGTTGGAAAAGTTACTTTGCACCTTTAAAATAGATTGAGCTGTAAGCTGCCTTTAAACTGTCTTGCATTGAGGAGTTTAACGTTTTATTTTCTGTTTCTTTTCATGATTATTGTATTTTTTATTATGCAGTTTTTTTTCCTGTTTTTCAGTTTTCTAAATGTTTTTTTTCTTTTGAGGGGTCTCTTGAGATTATACCTGATAAAATACTTGGTAGCCTACATTATAGATACAAAAAAGGGCCTCCAATTTTAACAGTATTTTTATTTTAATAAATTAAATGGGTAATCTAGAGATTTAGTATTATAATTCTCCTACATTTAGGGGATTAATAAGAGACTTTTAGAGAGTTTCTTTTGTAAATAGTAGTCGACATCTCTGCAGCAGACGCTGAGAAATCTTTGTACTTGTAACTCAAAAACACTGAAGCCTACAAAAAATAACCTTGATGACATCATCAGGGTTATTTTGTCTAGACTTTAGTGAGCCTCACCAGAGCTAAGAATGTACAACTGTTGAGCACGGGATAACTATCCCGCCCATTACACGGCTACCAACTAAATAAACTTGATTCACAAGATTGAATTAAAATGTATTTTATTGATTTAAAAATTATTGTATTGCTTCTGCTCAGAAAGAAAACAATGGTCCGTTCCACTGCGTACCAACGGCTGGAACGGCGGCCACAGCAACGTCACTTAACATGACGGTAGAACTGCTGTTAATGTACAAGTCTGTTCACATTCTTTCCCGTTAACTTAAAACACTGCCAGAGCCCATACAGTGTCCCTGTTAGTGTTTACTTCCTTGTCTTCTTCTCTTTTAACCTCTTTCCTTGCACTGTTTTATCTTTTTCTTTTCTTGGGACAGTTTAGCCATCATCAATCCAACGTTTTCGTGCTCTCCACAAACACAAACGTGCATATTCAGATATACAGATTACATTAAATCAACCGGTCTTCTTTCTGCGGATTGATATGACTGCACAGAGTCCCTTGCTCCTCCTTAGCAACGGTCTGTTCTCCTTAGCAGCGGGTCTGTTAGTGAGAATTAACCACCTCCGAAATGTCCAGATTGACCAATCAGAATCGAGTATTAAACTACTGTAAGCCTTGTAATAACTTTTTTTGAAGGCTTCGCTCTGAGAAGTAGTCACAATATGACGAGTACAGTGACCTTTATGTATACAATTGGTGGCTTTTTCTATAGCAACTCATGGGAAAACTTCAAACCTTAGTGAACACCATTACTGGCAGATCAGTGTGGCTGTCTCACTATCGACTTTTAGCCTCTTTAATCTCTCTCAGTTTTTTCTTCCAACTCAAGTTTGGTTTGTGTTTTCCTTACCCTAACTTATAGAGTAAGATTGCAATATGAATTCAGGGTTAAGGACACAATAATAAGTGAATAGTTTAGTTGCCCCACTACGTGTTTGTGTATTAACATCCAGACAGAAACCCATAGCAGACAGCAGCAACATCTGGGATGTACTGAGCCTTGAGCAGGAATATCAGAATAAGACCCTCAGCAGATCTGTGATGATGGCTGTCTGATAACGGTAATGAGCATATAATGAGGGTTTAGGAGTGAAATGGCCATTCGTCCTGGACTCCTGATGCGCAGTTAGGAGGACCAGCCGTGCGTGTAGCGCTGTTCCTGAACGTCTCCTCCCCTGTTTCTGCAGTGTTACAGCTTTGCCTTCTTGCTCATCGTTTCTTGTGCCAATGCTGCCCTCAGTAAGAGTAAGACAATACTTCCATCTGCATAACACCACGCTCCTCTCCTCTCCTGTCTGCCACCATTCTTCTGCTTGATATCCATCTTGTCCTGATCCGTTTGTGTGGTTTTGCGTCCTCTCAATCCGTCACCATTCATTCACGCCTACTCTCACGCTCAGACAGAAAAGCAAGGGAATTTTTCCACTCAGTTTATTTTACGGAGAAAAAACACACCTTAAAAGCCTTTTTTAAACAAATGCATAGTTTAGAAGAATTTCTGACTGATAGAAGAAGCGGGACGGATCAAGACAGACAGTCATTTCATTTATTATTTTACGCATCAACATTCGCACGTAGCCTGGAGAGGAAAAAGCTGAGAACGCATTGTGTTTTCTGAAATAATTACTTAGCTTTGTGGGCGATGTCGCCGCGTTGAAGCGAGGGGAATTGAATAACTAATCCAACAGTGTTAAGTTTGCTGAGGTAGGCTACCTGTCAGGGAAATAAATAGCGAAGAAGCACCGTAAGATACACGCGTCATTTCCAAGACACCAGCGCAACAAGCCAACACCATTACACCAGCCTGCTACGTGGATGGCACACTGGGTGTCTTCTTCTCTTGAACTGGTGCAGAGCAGCCTCGCGGAGACCAGGGTCCAGCTGAGATTCGGGGCTTTCTGTGAGTATCCATGGGACTGCTGTGCGCACCAAATGGACCAGTCTATTTGTCCCTTGTCCACAGCGTACTGACTGAATTATTTTCTGTAATCTCCAATAATATAGTTGTTTTAGAACCCATGTGCAACTTAAGATTTTCAATTGTCTGCAACAGTGATGTATTTTTTTGTATTTCTGCTCCAGTTGCTGAATCTACTCTGTCATCTCATCTCGTTTTCTTAAAACTCTCTAACGTGGAATCCTCTCCGGCTATAGTTTTTTCATGGTGATTATGAAACTCTCTGCACAATTTGTTCATTACAGATAACCTGTCTTCCCACAGAGCGATATGAAAGTTAAGTTCCTTTCCTGAGGCCATAACTTCCACTCTGAGCTGACTCACAGAAAACTGCACCTCGGTGAGTAATTCTATTTCTTGCAATATAAAAAATAGGACCCATTTTAACCTAAAGTATACTCCTGCATGAGCATCTTGTCTTTTTCTCTTTTATACTGGGCCCTAAAGCTCATAGCATGCAAACACCTAGTACATGGCGTATGTCGTTTTTAGTTTAGATACGGTGTGTGTTCAACATCAGGTCTCATATTGTCTGCTAACAGTTATATTTTTCTGTTCACGCATTGTTTACTCTTTATTTTCCTTCTGCTTGTTTCTGTTTATGACTTTTCATTCCCAAGACAAAAGCAATGACATTTATGAGGAGTCTCATTACAAATTGAAACTGCCACCATTTGAAGAGGAAAAAAAAAGTCTAACAAAACGAGTGGTAGCATCAAAGTGTAACTCATTATTAAGAACAAGTGTTTACTTGCCAACCTGAGACCTCTTCTCACCAAACAGGAACACGTTTGAGGACTCGATTTAAATGGAGGCACTTTTTTTTATACATTTGGGTGATTTTTTTTATTATTAAAGGTTGAAGGAGCCACTTAATGAATTGGAAAAGTGGCACCTTGCTGGGTGTGTCAGTGGTATAACTGTTAAACTGATGTTGTTATAAAGGAAAATGTTGTTTAATATCAGCGATGCAGAGAATTGAAGACCAAAAAAGGGGTTAGGGTTAGTAAGGTGAAAGACATCCAGCTTGGTGGCGATGATGCATACATCCTGCATTCTTCAGGGACAGAGTATCTCTACATGTCTTTACATTGTTAGCTGGTTGGCACCTGGTGATTCATAGAGGAATGTATGTCACTGAACTGTGTATGGCACCACTAGACCACATTCAAAATGTAGACACATTTGTCTCTATAGTACTGTGGATAAAAAAAATGTTATTCCTTCCTTCCCACCAGTTGGAGAGCTTGCTTTTACCATAGAAACGTCACCCACTCAAAATTTGTGCAAGGTTGTCTGCCAGGCGAATGCAGGATTATATTAAATTATAGGAAGGAATCGATGATATCTCTGGACGACGCTGTGTACTCTTCTTCTCATTTATTTATTTATTTTTGTTGAATAAGGATGTATCATCAGGGTCGAGGTTCACATGTTGCCTGTGCCGATGTGTTTCGCTGTCCATGGTTCTGATCCTGCTACTGTCTCACTCCGTTTCAACAGCAGACATGTGTTGCACAAAGCTGTTGCTGCACAAACACAATATGTGTGTCGCTTATTAACAAGGTAACAACAACATTGGCAACTCGTTGTCTACATCTGTGCTGTGTGGCTTCACCCTGAAATGTATCCTTGATGGAAAACGTGCACCCCTGTTATGCAGGTCAGAGTGGAGATTGCAGCTTTTCTCAGCTGCATGTCAATGAGAGCAGGTGGCGTACATGAAGCATTGTCAAACCTCTTCTACTGTAGGTTGGCAACCTATTTTTGGGATGGAGGTGGTCTTGACATTTTAATTAGGAAGCATTAGATTACATTCCTTAGCTGTTTTTTTCTCTCTGTTCACATTGATGTTAATCCTCTGCACGGTATTGATCTGCTGGTGATTGCCACGCTGCTGCCAAGAAAGCCACTCTGAACTGATCTTAAATTGTCCCCTGACAGTGTAAATCGCTTAAGTAAAATGCAAAAAAGGGTGTTAGGTAGCTTTAGCATTAGACAGTATATAACATGCCAGAGTTGAGGGGCATGCTTCACCTCCGTTAAATCATTTGATATCTTTATCTCGGCTGCCTCAAAACAACATCGCTTTTCTTTTTTTACTTTCAGCGAGGATTATTTTTGGACTCCCCTCTACCTCGACAATACAAAGTGGACTGAGTCACTTTATCTCTCAGTACTCCAGATGCAGAGGGGCATATTTCTAATGCTGCTTAGCACAGAATGACCATTATATGTGTGGGAGTTGGACTGGGTAGTTCAATACCAATGACTCAATGATTTGTAGTTGCCAATATTTCTGGCTTTCCAAACTCGGACCAACGGAAATGCTGGATCAAGTATGACTGTGAGCACTTCTGTGATGGTATACCTTGGCTTTTCAAGGTTATTTCTGAACCCTGATGATGAGCGACCCAATGAATGTGATTACCTCATGGCAAAATTCTTGTACTTCTATCTTTCAGAGACTCCAAGCATCATCACGCTGCCATGTTTCTGAACAAGCGTATCCTCACACCATGCATGTTCATGTCCTTGCTGCTGGTTCTGCTCCCAGGAGTCACTCGTGTCTCCCAGGGCAGCGCCAGCCTTGAAGATACTGACGTTGCAGCAGGCAACTGCTCCAGCACTGAAAACTGCACAGATGGCGTGGTGCTGCCCATGTGGAACCCCACAAACCCCGCGGTGGGGGACAAGGTGGCACGCGCCATAGTTTACTTTGCAGCCCTCATATACATGTTCCTGGGCATGTCCATCATCGCAGACCGCTTCATGTCTTCCATCGAGGTCATAACCTCCCAGGAGAAGGAGATCACCATCAAGAAGCCCAACGGTGAGACGACCACGACCACTGTGCGCATCTGGAACGAGACGGTATCCAACCTGACTCTGATGGCGCTGGGCTCATCTGCACCAGAGATCCTTCTGTCCCTCATTGAAGTGGTCGGCCATAACTTCGAGGCTGGATCTCTGGGGCCCAGCACCATTGTGGGCAGCGCTGCGTTCAACATGTTCATTATCATCGCCATCTGTGTGCACGTGGTGCCTGAAAATGAAGTCCGGAAGGTAAAGCACCTGCGGGTGTTTTTCGTCACTGCTTCCTGGAGCGTGTTCGCCTACATCTGGCTGTATATCATCCTGTCTGTGGTCTCCCCGGGAGAGGTGGAGGTGTGGGAGGCTGTCCTTACCTTCCTCTTCTTCCCCATCTGTGTGCTCCAAGCCTGGATCGCAGACCGCCGCCTTCTCTTCTACAAGTACGTCCATAAGCGTTATCGTGCTGATAAGACCCGAGGCATTATCATCGAGTCGGAAGGAGACGCCATGTTTACTAAAATGGACTTGGAGATGGACGGCCAGGGCGGGAACTCCCACACTCACCCCAAAGAGGCGCTGGATGGGATGTTGGAGGGCGTGGAGGAAGGTGGAGGGAGCGCGGAGCAGGATCAGGAAGAAGAGGCCCGACGGGACATGGCTCGCAATCTGAAAGATTTAAAACAAAGGCACCCGGAGAAAGACATGGAGCAGCTGATCGAGATGGCCAACTACCAAGTGCTGGTGCAACAACATAAGAGCCGGGCCTTCTATCGCATCCAAGCCACGCGCATGATGATCGGAGCGGGGAACATCTTGAAGAAGCACGCCGCCGACCAGGCCAGGAAGGTGGTGAGCTGTCATGAGGCCAGTGGGCAGGAGGAAGACCCCAACACCATCTACCTGCAGTTTGACTCCGATCACTACCAGTGCTTCGAGAACTGCGGCTCTCTGAAGCTGTCAGTCACTCGGCACGGAGGAGAGAGTGGCTGCACTGTGAAGGTAAGAAGACATTATGACAAATATAGCAAATGGTCAATTTGAGGGAAATACTTCATGTGAATCAGGTAAACAAAAATACTTTAAACTTTGCGAGTTCATTATTTGCATTAAAACAATTCTTTTTTGAAATAACAGGTTTAAATATGCAAATGAGGTAGTATTTAGAAAATAATTTTGGATCTCCTTTTATCACTAAATAAATAAACATTTTGTGTTTTTAATCAATGTTTTAAAACCCTAGGACTAAAAATAGGAATGAGAGTGGATAGTTTGGTACGTAAGTGTTACTGAATTGGAGATTTCTGACTCACAAATAAATGATTTTGATAATTGTTTTGTAAAATCCATGAATACATTCCATTTTGCAAGAACCTTTAAAGCAATCTTCTTTTATTATTAATTAAAGGGTTTCAAAAAATGTGTTAAGTAACATTAGGTACATTTAGGATTAAATCTACAGACACATAGACAAAGGGAAATAAGCACCTAACTGAGTTTGGGTGTTTTGGAAGTCTGAAAGCAACATGTAATGGAAGCAAAAAAAAGTCCCAAATCTCAAAACTGACCAGTGATTGAAAAACTGTATGTGGAGGACTTCAAATCTAATGGATTGCTTGAGAGATAACATAGATTAATAATTCATATTTAAAGAAGCTTCTTCCTTTGCTCAGGTGGACTACCGTACGGAGGATGCGACCGCCAACGCCGGCTCAGACTACGAGTTTGCCGAGGGCACTCTGGTCTTCAAGCCTGGCGAGACCACCAAAGAGTTCACCGTCGGTGTCATTGATGATGACATTTTTGAAGAAGATGAGCATTTCTATGTGCGCCTGAGTAATCCACGTATCGTGCACCGGGCTGAGGTCTCTGTCCTGGAGCCAAACTCCATCACCTCCAGCAACAGCACGGGAGGGATCTCCAACGCCCCCCCCAAGGCCGCCCTGGGCACCGCCAGCACCGCCACGGTCACCATTTACGATGACGACCACGCCGGCATCTTCACCTTCGAGAATAAGTCCACGAGGGTCAGCGAGAGCGTGGGTAACATGCAGGTGAAGGTCCACCGGACGTCCGGGGCCAGGGGGAAGGTGGCGGTGCCCTACCGCACCGTCGAGGGCACCGCCAAGGCCGGGGAAGACTATGAGGACGTGTCCGGCAAGCTGGAGTTTCAGAACGATGAGACCATGTGAGTTTTTCCTTCTTTTATGTGATGTCTAGTTTTTGCTTCTAATCACTCGATCAAACATCGCAGCCCACACGTTGGCGGTTTAAAGAGTTCTGCTGGATTACTGTAAATGATCTATTCTGGTGAAGCGTTAAAGTGGCTATTCATATGCGTCATTGATACGTTGGTTCTGAGAACTTTAGATCTTCCAGAGGGATGATGTGGGAGGATATAATTGTGCGGCAGATAATGGAACAATGTGGCTGATGTAAAGGAAGGAGTGAGGGAACAGCGTTCTATGAATGAGTTAACACGCAGCCCTGTGGGATTTGGCTAGATGTTACACACTCCACTGCAGAAAACAAAAGGAAGTGTATGGCAGCGACAGAGAAGGGGGAAAGAAAATCAGGCAGTTGACTGAACAGCAGCGGGGAGGGCATGAAGGCTTGAGCAGATACGGAAACAGGTGCATTCAGTGAAACCTGTGTGATAGTTTCATGGATGCAGAGAGGCAGATAAGAAAGGCTGCAGAAAGAGGGGGGAAAGTCTGATGTTTTTCCAGCTTTCCCTCGAACATTGCACGGAAGGTTTGGTTGAATGACGAGAGCACTTGTGGTGTTTGTTTTACGACGCGATGTGCATAGCCTTGCAATTATCCACGGCAGTTATTTTTGATTTGATCCCCAAAAAAGAAAGCGCTCTTAAACCGTGCCAAGCTCATCACGTCGACATGATTCAGAACACAGAGCACTAAACAAAGGAATGAAAATGTGTCAGATGAATCCGTTTGTGTGAGGAGGATTTCAGGGCCCGTGTGTAGGCGTATTGTGTAGGTCGGCTGAGTGGGAGGAGAGGCAGGTGAACACAGCGTGTCAAAGAGACTGCAGGTCTCCCTATTCGTCTTTTGGCCTCGCAGTGCAGGTGTGATTTTAATATATTCCTCTGTTGCACATTATTCTGCATGTTTGCTTGCTTGAATTGCGCTTGTCTGTGTGCATTTTTAATAGTGCATGTCTGTGTGCCGCATCCACTTTAAACCCACATCAAACAGAATGTCGCTCCAGAGGGGAACTCAAAAGAGCTTCTTGAGCATCCGGAGCAATTAAAGCGTGTGAGGAGGGGTTCAAGGAGTCCAAAAAGTTCTCAACAGAGCGCGGGCGGCCACAGAAGCTGCCGTTAATGAGACAGTTGAGTATACCGTCGTGAAATGAGAGGCTGCATTCAAACGGAGCATTAGCTGAAATCCTCACCTACTGAGCCAAGACTCTGATCATCTGTCTGTAGCGAGCCGACAGTGACACAAGCATCTGCGCACTTCATATCTATCTGGAGTTATGCCTCTCTCAGCAGTCACTGTGTAGCAGGAGAGGAGAGAGCTGGATCACTTTCCATATGAGAAAGCCGATGAAAAGAGAACACAACAGCAACGGGGAATGCCAAAGCTGTGCTGAGCTACTCCTGTGCTCCTTTGAATAGCAAACAAGGACTTAAGGGGGAATTCAGGGGTTCTGTGATCAACGTTAATAAGGTTCGACTAAGATCTTGAGTCACACTTGCCGGTCCAGATGGGTCAAATCACAGCAGCTTATCTTTTAAGCCATGGTGTAGTTTTAATCCAAGACACCTGTTGTCAGACGGTAAGAGAGAGGAAAGCTATATTTTCCACATGAAGGTATCAAAGCTGGTGTAGAAGGTACTGGAGCCAATTTACCCTGTTGAACAGATTTTAAGTGCCTAAGTCTTTGGAAAGTAATGCGTTTTGTGCCTGCTTTATGCTCCTCGGATGCTCCAGTCACACTGAATCTTTTATGAGGTTGTTTAATTTGAAACGTTCTGTCAGTCCTGTTAAAAGATGCAGCGGAAAAATAGTCAACGTCATCTCGAGGTAGCTCTACGTATCTATGCGCGTGACCTTGTGCACCTGCTCTATGCATATGTGCTTACCGCTCAGCTGTCTGACAAAGTTCATCCTTCAAACAAAGCTTACACACTAATGTTTCCCTGGAGCACTCGGGGCAAAGAGCTCACATTCGGCAGCGGGCCTCAAGGCAGCTCCGTGTGTGTGTGTGTGTGTGTGTGTGTGTGTGTGTGTGTGTGTGTGTGTGTGAATCTGCTATCCCGGTCAATGTTGGAGCGTGCAGAAGGAGCAGAAGAGGCAGGTTTCAAGCTTTTGACTCAGAGCCAGGAGGAACGGTTTTAAATCCAACTGTGCAGATAAATAACAATTCACCATCTAAATTCTGCACTGCAGTAAATAGATTATGATGTACGAACACAAGCATCTGAGCCAAGATAAACAGGCTGACATAGAGAACTGTTTTACATTCCCTGTTTATGGATTAGAGGAAGATCTGCGCAGATCCTTTGATGGCTGTGTGTAGCTTCCTCTTGTATCTGTATTTTCGTTAGCGCCTCAAAATGTGAGGCTCTACACACTAGTTGAGGCTGAGGTGGATAATGGGGGCAGTTACATAAGCAAAAATGAAAGAGATGCGAGGAGATGACTTTCTCAAAAGGAGAATCAATAGCGTGATGTTCTTTCTTTCTCACGCCTAATGCAGTCAGGATCAATTATATTTTTGAACTCCATGACAAAAATGGATAAAAGCAGAAGCCGCAGAGTCAGGGTTGGCTAATGTTTACGCATTTGGAAATGTTCAAATCTTTCCCCAAAAGAGTGCTTTCTCTGGGGACTCATCAAGGAAGAAGAATGATCTTGTTCGGCTGTCATTTTCCAATATTATTAGAGTTAATTTGATTAAAATCTATTCATTTACAATTACTAGTTACCTGTGAAAACATTTAATCTCATCTTAGTATCACATTATAAAAGTTCTGTCAGACACCTGTTTCTTTAATATGTTTATTAGAAGCAGCATATAGTTTGAGTTTGGTGTCTAGGCTCGGGCCTCCACAGATTTACAGAGAACGTAGAGTGATGATTAGATAACTATCCCCCCGAGCCTACAGGTGGAAGCTGGGTGGTGGGGGGGCCGGCAAGCAGCAACAGCAATGTGTTTGGTTGGTTCTAAGAGGGACGAGGAGCGTCACGTGTTAATGTATCATTGGTGCTGGAGTTGACTGCCTGAACTAGCTCGCAGGCTACGCCCCATTAATGAAACCTGATTAATTTACATTACTTTTGGATTCCCTCAATATCAATGCAATTCAAAAAAAGACATGCCTCAATACTTACATTATGGGACATCAGAACACGAATTGAAAAAGAACATATTATCTTTAAAAATGTGTTTTTTGTTGAAAAACCGGGTTTTTAACAATCATATTCAGAGGGTAAAAGTAAAGTTTAAAAAGGCAAACATTAAATCTAAGCAAACGGAAAATGTTGGTTTTAGTTCAAAGGGGCCCTTTTGAGCTTTTTGGGGTTGTCCCTTTCTTGTAGTGTTTGTGTGCATGTAGATGGCCTGCAAAGGCTACAATCCCAAATGTCCCTCCAGAGGGAGTTTATAGTGCTCCAATTTGCATGCTGAGCTTGCATGTCACACACTAGCAATAAATTAAAAAAACACATAAATCACACTCATTAGGTCATAACAGTGCATGCGAAACAGTCTCTTGTACTGTATCTGCTGGATATGAGAAAAACACATTTCATCATCGTGCTGCAGCCTTATGTTCATATCTACCGTACTATGCATTGTTTCTGGAGCTGATCGAGGACCAGTTTTTTGCTCAAGGACACATCAGCAAGATAGAAACATGCTGACACAATGACACATTGGTTTGGTCCATGATTCTCCAACTGAATGGCAGTGCCCCGTCCAGTCAGGGGCATTTGACATACTGTCATGCATTTATGCATTCACTCATTCTCCCTACAGGCTTAGTTTTTGTCAGGCTCTCAGGAGGGCTGGAGCCCATCCCAGCGTGGAGACTGCAGAAGGCAGAGATACTCTCCTAGGGTGAACATAGAAGCGTATAATCTGTTACTCCCATACCTACAGGCAATTCAGAGTCTCCAGTCCTCATAACTTACATGTGTGTATATGTCTTTGGTTGTGGGAGGAAACTGGAGCACCCTTATCCAACCAACGCAATGTGAGGGAGAGGGAAACTCCAAAAAAATAGGTCTAACAGCTGCTGCAGTCTCAATCACAAATCAATGCACTGTATTCCTCTATAGTTAACCTTCGTTTACCAGGATAATCCAGCAAGTTAATATACAGATACCATTTTGGCAGACAATAGTCTGTTAAGAAATGTGAGAAAGGAAATTCAAAGTCAAAAAGCATTGATGGAACTTATAAAAAGAGCAGACGTTCCCCTCTCAGCAGAGATGATGGTTGTTTCAAGGGAATCAGAGATCGATCAGAGAATGCAGTCGTGGCGTCCTTCACGTGTTTGACAGACTCAATAGCAAGGTATGCTATCGACTCTGGATTCGCAGAAACTTTCCCAGGAATAGAGCCGGTGGGTAGAGAGGATAAACTGTGAAATGTGATATCATGCAGAAAGGGAGGGATTTACTGTCTGGATAGAATCCTACTGTGACTGTTGTAATGAGAGGTAAGACCTGCAGAGATTCACAGCTCAGGACAATTCATGGTGCTATTTTAACTGTTAACCTGATCCCACACAGTTACAGTAGTTACAGGAACCTCATTAATTCCTCACCAAATGTCATTGGACAGAAAGATATTTTTGGAATGATTCTAACTTGCTGAGATGGCAAGGTGTGGCTTTACAGTGAGTTACATGCTGGAACCATTTATGTTCACAAGAGCAGCTCTGGCTTAATATTTAGACTACAGACGGCAGGATGGCATGAACCTTCTTATCTCTCAGCAAGAAATTCATATTTGTGACAGGTCTCTCTTGAAAATGAGATTTTACACCTGTATAAATAAAGGCTAAATAAAAACTATTTCCCAAATGTTGAATTATTCTTTCAACTAGCTTACTAGCCGATCAGCTATTAGCTAGATAAGTGGTTAGTTGGTAGTCTTGCAATGTCAGGTTTACTGTACAGTGTTCACTTTGTACATGCACCCTATTGGCAGTACACATGAACATAATACTATGTGTGTAGTACGTTTTTCTTTTGGGGTTGTTTCATTAAACCAGAATGTTTTAATTGGCTTTATTTCAAGGTCCAAGGCTTTTATTAGTCATACGTACATAGCTACAGTGTAGTTATGACGTTGAACATCTTAGGTCCCAGACTCCAACAACAGTGCAACACAATTAAATTAAACCAGTTTAAAAAAAAAAAAAGAAACTGTGAGACTTATTCAAACTAATCATACCTTAAGCTCCTTTTACTTTTTTGGATGCTGTCTTTTGATTCGATAACATTTGGTTTTGGTTTCATTACCCACATTTGTTTTCTGAAGTTGGAGCAAAAACTCAGGTTACGATTTGAATTGTTACCGATCCCATCTTTCATATCTAGATTGTATTTGAGTGAGAGGTGTGCAAAATGTAAATGTTTTCTTTTCCCTGCCAGTTATATGTCCTGCGCAGCTTCATAAACTAAAGCAGGATAAACGGTATCTGGCCAAAGTGTGATGTAAGATACAAAAGGATGAATACAGTCCCTGGCAGGTGAATCACTACATTGTAGTTGATGACCTTTAAACTTACCGTGTCCCTGTACATATTGCTTTTAAAAATAACATATTGTGTAAAAGAAACTCTTTCATTTCCTTGGTAAGGACTGCCGGCGATACTGCGATTCCCTTTGCTCCCACTGGTATGACTACCCTTGACATTAGACAGCTGATGACGTATCGTTCATGTTTAAAAGAAACTTATTCAATATTGCAAGCAAACAGCTCTTCTTTCTACCGTGTTGTCGAATCCTGAGTGCACATGAGTAGACAGAAATAGACAGCCACCCACATATCATTAGGGAGATGGAGGGAGAGGGAGAGAAAGACTCGCTGTGACAGAGTGGGAGAATGAAGCGGGGCTGCGGCTGAATATGTCGGTCACAGTTTGACACCCTCACTCACATGTTTTTGGTAGCACTCGCATTTAAGGGCAAAAGCTGTATTTTGTAAACACGTCTTAAGAGCTTGTGTGATCCTGCATGGATTCCCAGATAGGAGGAGCTTGATTTCCATAGAGAACAAGATAATAATTCAATTTCCGATGACTTATAATAACTGGATGTGTGTGGGAGGGGTGTGGGCTATCTCACTTTATTCCTCTAGTGCTCTAATGGGATTAATGGTGTAGAAGGCGTCCGCCCTCTTGTGGGGTGCTAGGGGAAACATAAAAGATGATTTTGTGTTGTACATGGTGTTCTGTACTACAGGACTTTTGTTGGAAAAATCTCAGGCTTCCGTGTTCTTATCTAACATCTCTGTTTCATGATTCATTGTGTAGGCAGTTTACCTCTTGGCTACACTCTTTGTTTTTGTACAAAAGCATGTAGCAATACTGGATGCCTGGGATCTATTTGTGATTAAATATATTGCAGGTTAATGTATGTTGATAGCGTTGTGTATTTCCTAAATAATGCTAATCAATTCACTTGTTGGCTCCATCCTTTCCTTGTTCCTTGACCCCTCTGCTTACAGGAAGCTGCTGAATGTGAAGGTCATCGATGACGAGGAGTACGAGAAGAACAAGACTTTCACCATTGTGTTGGAGGAGCCCATCCTGCTGGATGTGGGAAAGAGACACGGTGAGCTGAGGATACATGCAGCCGCAGAGAGATTTTCATTATTATTTTATGGCTCGAGATATATTTTAATTTGGATCCTCCCTCGTTAATATTTTATTTAGTCTCTTACTGGAGCCCTTGACATGCATTGATACAAATTCCTCATGACTCTGGGGAAACTCTTAAGGTCTAAGGTGTGATCTCTTTTGTCCCTTAGTTTTATGATTGACACTTGTGTTTAAATTGTTGAACTGTCAAATAGCCTGGGTTGAAGGTATTACATTTCTGCATTTAAATGCTAAAAAACAAATACTACAATGAACAATGAAATAACAGTAACCGGGGGAAGCTTACTGTAAACACAAAATCCCACGACACCACTCTAGTTGGCAACACCACAATTGTGTTATTGCTTTTATTGAGAGCCCTTTTTGCAGCAGAAAAATTATTCAGCGTTTAAAATAATTATATCAGGATTAGAGCTAAAAGGGACAAGTACGACCGAATAATATTTTTTTAATGTGTTGAATTATCTGACAATATTGCAAAATACGTGATAGGCTAAGGGGCGGGACATCTTTAAGCGATTTACCAATCACAGCAGAGCCAGCCAGCTAACCAATCAGAGCAGACTGGGCAGACAGAGGGTGAAAAGAGGTTCTGCAGCACAGGCAGTATGAGAGAAATAAAGAGCTTTTTGAACATTAAAGCATGGAGACACGTCACAGGGGAGGCACAACATACAATTATGAATCTGAAAAAGAGGATAATAGTGCTCCTTGAATGATTGTATAACAAGCTTACCCCCTACCCACCCAACTCAACACAATGACGTAAATTAAACTTGTTTAGGTCATACAATACTTACAAATAAAGCATTGTTAGAAATAATCAACATAGGAAAAATCTTTTTTATACCTGAAATCAATTAGACAAGTAAATAGTTAATTATACTTCATTATCAAACAGTTCACATTGTAGATGGGTTTCCTTATCAGTAGATCTGTTGTCTTATTAAGTACGGCTCATAGTTGACACACTTTTCTCACACTGTGCCGCAGGAGACACCAACGATAACAAGACAGGCGCGGGACCGGAGGACGTGTCAAAGATGGGCTTCCCCATCCTGGGCGAGCACACCAAGCTGGAGGTGGTGATTGAGGAGTCCTATGAATTCAAGGTAACTCAAAAATAAACAGCTCTCTGCTTCAGAGTGGCCTTCAGCCATCACATTAAGGATTGTGATTAACTGTAATGCAGCATTTAAAGGGGTCGAAATTGGTTTTGAAATGGACTGCCATAAAGTGTAGGGTTGTACGTGCCTGGGTAAAGAGAACCATTCAATAAAAATGGATGCAACAGAGGCTGAGATATATAACTAATCTATGTATGCTACATTTCCCACAACGCAACTTGCTTATGTCTGCTAAATGTCCATGGTTGTGTTCTCACACTAACGCACTAAATACTCCCCTCCAGTACGTACAGTGGGGCAAAAAAGCATTTAGTCAGCCACCAATTGTGCAAGTTCTCGCACTTAAAAAGATGAGAGGCCTGTAATTTTCATCCTAGGTACACTTCAACTATGAGAGACAACATGAGAAAAAAAAATCCAGAAAATCACATTGTCTGATTTTTAAAGACTTTATTTGAAAATTATGGTGGAAAATAAGTATTTGGTCAATAACAAAAGTTAATCTCAATACTTTGTTATATACCCTTTGTTGGCAATGACAGAGGTCAAACGTTTTCTGTAAGTCTTCACAAGGTTTTCACACACCGTTGCTGGTATTTTGGCCCATTCCTCCATGCAGATCTCCTCTAGAGCAGTGATGTTTTGGGGCTGCCGCTGGGCAACACGGACTTTCAACTCCCTCCAAAGATTTTCTATGGGGTTGAGATCTGGAGACTGGCTAGGCCACTCCAGGACCTTGAAATGCTTCTTACGAAGCCACTCCTTCGTTGCCCGGGCGGTGTGTTTGGGATCATTGTCATGCTGAAAGACCCAGCCACGTTTCATCTTCAATGCCCTTGCTGATGGAAGGAGGTTGTCACTCAAAATCTCACGATACATGGCCCCATTCATTCTTTCCTTTACACGGATCAGTCNGTGTGTGTGTGTGTGTGTGTGTGTGTGTGTGTGTGTGTGTGTGTGTGTGTGTGTGTGTGTGTGTGTGTGTGTGTGTGTGTGCGTGCGTGTGTGTGTGCGTGCGTGCGTGCGTGCGTGCGTGCGTGCGTGCGTGCGTGTTAAAGGGGGATACATAAAGTGTAATCTCGTTCTTCAAAAAGACTTTGCCTTTAAAATACAATGCACTGATAACAATCAAACCAGTTGTCCCAGAAAATGTTGTGTTGAGACCCCTTCAAATTTGTATTATTTGTTAGGAGTTCCCCCCCCCCAAAAATGATTTAGATGGTTTAATATAATAATGTTTAAAGAAGTCAAACAGTTAATGTAAGTTAATTAACTTACAAAAAACCTCATGATTTATCTTGTGGCCCTAGATAGAAGACAGACCTATAATGTAAATGCCCCATTGGAAACAGCTTTGCCCGATGGCGGTGATGAGGCTTAATGATCATAATAACACTTGTAGCTTGGGAACCTCCGGACTAAACTGTAAATTAAGTAGTTTAAACTAGCTCCACCTAGATGATATACAAGTAGTAGAACAACATTGTAACGACTTAATGCAGTATTACCAAGATAAGTATACAATAATACTTATTTTTATAGTTGAATTACATTTTGATATGTTTTTTTCTTTTAGCAATGTAGGGTTGGTGTATCTTCACTTATAATGGATTACTTTTACATTGGTGTACTGATACTTGAGCGAAAGGATTTGAATGTTTTTGGCACAGAGGCTGTAGGTTGCATTAAATGGTTAGAAAATCCAATTTTGTACTTTATAATTGTAAATATATACTGTAGATAGCATAATTGTAAGTTTGTTCACTTCGTCAAACCACCATACAGCTGGTTTTGTAATACCTCACTTTAATAAAATAGTTAGTTATGTAGTGGTATTAAGAAATGTGGAATAAGGAAACAAGGCATCTTACAGCGTTATAAATGAGCAACATTTATTTCCACTTTTTGTACATTAAACGTGCATATCAATACAACTGAAATTGGTCATATAAATACCTTTACCATAATACTGTTACAATATATATGGCTCTACTGATCCGAGAGTAAATAAAAACAAATTTCAATATCAACCGCTGTGTGAAACAAAAAGACACTAAGGAAAAAACTGTACATATGTTTGGGCACATTTTCATCTCAGACGATGGATTTGGGGATTGTGCTAAGATTAGGGCCTAATAACTATTCCTATTCTCATCTGGAAAGTGACCCCTTTCGTGGCTGTGCTTCATTCTAAAAGTGATGTTAAAAAAAGTTTAAGAAAACAGGTGTCCTTCGCCTCTCTGCACACAGACAGCACTTTGTCAATAAGGAATTTGTGCCATGCCGTCATCAATTTTTGCTGGAGAGCAGAAGTACACACACACACACACACACACACACACACACACACACACACACACACACACACACACACACACACACACACAAAACTCCCACGCACAATGTTCATCTTTTTGATGATACACAATGAGTAATTAATGTAGAGATTGAGTAATAAATATCAACACACAAATACCTCACTCCAGACTGCTTAAATCTTGTGCTTTCTTAACACTACAAACTAAAATAATTGTCCACACAGAGAGAGGACACGATGGCAGAAGTTTTAAGCGACAGAAAGTTGGATGCCGTTAATGCTGAAAGCAATGATTGGATCAATATCCAATGTATAGTGTTTTTAATTTCAGTGGCTAAATCTATATATAACAGCATAGCAAAGTTCCAAAGTCCAACGATTCAAAGTCAATCAAATAACCTATTGCGCGGTATCAATAATAACTAATGATACAAAGATTTATAAACATTTGTGAAAATAGACAAAAACCGAAAGTAAACACGTTCAGTAGACTGTAGAAACAAGGAGAGGAGGCGCTCTGTGTTTCCCTCCACCTCAGAAGCCAGGCACATGGCAGTAAGCCTCCAGGGAGGACAACAGGATGTAGATGAACCAGAGGGAGAGGAAGAGGAAGAAGGTGAGGAGCTTGGGTGTCCGTGGGCCCCCGAGCTCTCCGCCCGCCACGCTGGGACGCCGGCGGTAGACCAGCACCACCACACACACCAGCGCCATGACGGTGAACACGGTGACGGAGAAGGCCAGCGAGCCCGGGTCCACCTTGAACACCTTGCCTTTGGACTTCCAGTAAACAGCGGCGATGGTCCACGCCACCCCGATACCCAGGAACACGTTGACGGCGTTGCTGCCCGTCACGTTGCCGATGGAGGCGTCAGCGTATTGGTCCTGGATGGCAGCCGTTTTACTCGCAAATGTATCTGTAACAGAAATGTAGGTATAGATTAGGCATCAACAGAAAAGGAAAATGATTTATTCAAATGAGCTAGTAATAGAGATCAGTGAGAGCACTCTGACCAGGGACTTTAGAACCACAAATGACAGTTGGTTCTGTACTGGTAGCAGGCAATTACATAGTAAACTTTATTATAAAAAATCAGTTGGAAAATAAATGTATTTTTGATTGGTCTCTATCACTTCGCGGCCCCCCAGCCCATGGCTTCTCTTTATAATGAACTAATAATGTATTAATGCTTTAAAGAACAGTTAGAGACCATGAACAAGAATATGTTTTACGTTGCTGGGTTGTGGAAAATCTTTGTATTTGTTATTATTATTATTACAGCTTAGTTGAATACCTGATTCTCATTTTGGACATTTAAGAGGTTGTTAATACTCAATATAATACTGCTGCAGCAAAGTAAGGATTGTTGTTAAGAAAGATTAAGGTAGAGAATAAAACAAGATAATAAAAGACAGATCGTTGGATGTTAGAGAAATTAACAGAAGAAGGCAGACAGGAAGTAAGCACTAACAGGAACACAATATGGGCTCTGGCATTGTTTAAGGACTTGTTAGTAGAACAGAAACTGTGAACAGACTTCGACCGTTACAGAAAACATTGATCAGTGCTGCTGGTCATTTTAAATTGCGTTGTTGTTGTCGCAGTTCCAGCCGTTGGTAAGCCGTGCATTTGCATGTTTTATTGAAACTTCACCCAGTCTGCAGCAAGTTACAAATGTAAAAGTTCAACATATTGAGAAATGTGCATCCTGGAGGGGAGTGAGATGAATATTAATTATAACTCTTGCATCTAGTCCAGCAGATGGTCGGCTTAGTTAAGCTGGGGATAGACAACTAACTTTTATTTTTTGCTTGCTCCCGGGAGAAAGGTGAAGTTGTTCTGCGGGTAAAGCAGCGTGCTGACAATGGAATGACACTCAGGTCACAGATTAAATGAGCGGGATGCAACGGGTCAGGTAGCTTTAAAGGTGCTGGTATAGGTGTATCCTGTTTCCTTTCTACAGAACCAAGTGAGCTGTTTTCAGTCTTGCTGCTAAGCTATATTAACTGTCTCCTGGCTGTAGCTTCATATTTATAGTTCAGACACGAGTGGTATGGATCTTCTCATTAAAGTCTGTGCCAGAGAGTTAACAAGCATATAATGTCAAACCATTCCTTTAAGTTGTTAATACATTTAGTTGCGGTCAAAAAAACAAAGACGATGTTACACAGCTAAAAGTATTTTTTGACACATGGCCAGCTAAAACGTGTACATACAAATTACAAATGGCTTCTGACTGATCTGTGGAGCATTACATGTTTTGTTTACCACAAATTACTTAACCCCCCGCCCCCCCTGTACAACATTTATCAGTATTTTCTTCACATTAAACTGGAAAAACAATTCTTTTTAAAGCCGGTCTCCCGCGTGCCTCTGTGTCAGTGTTTAAGACGTGGTGACATGGAAATGCAATTAGGCGGCACGGAGAGAACAAGGGAAACAGTCTTTTTCTTTGTTTACAGCTTGTTTCAGACAAGAGCTCAGGAGAGAATGATTCTGAGCACATTGTGGCACAGGTTACACAAGTCTACAGCACGCACTAAACACAGAGGTAACCAAGGACAAGTCCCCTGTCAGAGTGGACAGACACCACAGACGCCCACCTGGTACAGAGGTGCCGAGGGCCACAAACACCACGGCGGTGACCGAGTCCTTGAGCCCGACGGTGCAGCCGAAGTGACAGGCCAGGTCCCCGGTCACAGCTGTCAGGACGCCGATGAGAGAAATGGACACAAAGAAACACGCCCAGCCATTCCAGTACTCAGTGGGGGGGACAAAAGCGAAGAGGACTTTCCAGAAAACTGTCAGGAAGTGCATAATGTAGTCAAAGCAGGACGGCAGGCGCTCCTCCCCGCTGTCTTCCTCGTCGTCGTTACCTGGCAGACACAGATAAGATGCATGAAGGCTTGCAAAAATATTTACTCCCTGCGTTTGCATGCTGCTGTTGCGGTCTTCATCCTTCAGTATTGAAAACTGAATCAGACCAGAGAATATATTCTCTAATTTCCTCAAAAGATAACAATCTTTTAACCAATTTAAGTCCTGATTATCACTACCCAATATTCATTCCTTTTCAGAGTTTTAACCCTTTAAATTCCTTTCCAATGAAAGAATATGTATATTTTTTATGCTGGATTTTTTTTTACAGTCTCTGCAGTGTTCTTTGCAGAAACAGGAAAATTGCATGTATTTAAATCATGGGGTACGTGTGCAAAAATGGCCAAATCTGAAGGAAAATTGAAACAAACATATATAAAGTAATATGGATGTTATGCTGTAATAACTGTCAGAACAAAATGTAATAACAAACAATCCAAATGATAGAAACCCTTGAAATAGCAATGACCCTACATCTCATGTCGGAAATTGATATTAAATCATGATGGAGTAAATAGTTTCAGGTTTCATGATGTAGTTAAACTTAAAATACGTGTCTTACAGTCAAATCTAGCCAAGACGAAACCCAAACCCCCCCCACACACACAACATTCAAGCCATCCGACGATTGTGTGGGAGCTAACCTTTTCAACTCTCTGCATTAAATCTGTAAATATAGCCGCGACTCAGTTCTTGAGACATACGTATAGGCAGGCAGCATACTTTCTATTTATATATGCACTCTGCATGCAAATCTAAGTGAACCTAATATAAAAGAGCGTATTAACCATAGGTATTAACAGGAAGACACATCTCTGGTGTCATAGTCAGCTTTTAGCTCAAATGCTTTGTGCACTAGTGCAGATCTGAAAGGTTCACAAAACCAAGTGAATGGCTGTTGAAAGGGCAAAATAAAAAGGGTTCACCACACCACACAGTACATCTGCATAATTCCTTCTGAGCCAATAGTTGTCCAGGCAGAGCTGGACAGATTCGTTTTTATGGGGAGCCATTCGTAAAATCAGCACATCATGCATTCTTTATGAACCGTCTGGATTTAAAGGGTGCAGCATGGAAATGCCAAAATGTAATAAAGCAGGCTTTTGTGTTGTAAGCTTTTTCATGTTAAACCAGGATTCTAAATTGAGCTAATGTCAAACTGTAGCATTATAGATTCAAACAAAGAAGTATCTAAAGCATAGAAAGAAACTGAAGTGAGGTCTGTGAGAAGCAGCCGGTGAGACAGATCCTGCAGACTTCATCTTCCACAGGTGCTCACAGAGGCACAAACAGATGAGACATCTCACTGCGCTGCGACTCACCTGCACTGACAGTGACAGCACTAACAAACTGCTCCCTCCAGCTGCTGCTCCCCACCACCAGAGCCAGGTTCGTCTTCTTTATCAGCTTGTCCACTGTGCTCTGCAGACGGCCACAAAAAAGAAAGCAAAAGGACGTGATGCACAGTATCAATATAATCCTAACATTGCCTATGAGACTAGGGAGTCCAATGTGATGAATTAAGGTGCAATTAACCGTGTTACTGTTCCCTCTGTGGTGCACTGTGAGTCACTAAAACAGATGCAGGGAAGCACAAAAGCCCACAATCCCTCAGCAAAAATGCATATTACCAGCATAAAGCTGCTCTGCAGGATGTAAAGCCGTTAGTATCAGCGCATACAACTGGAGCTATGAGATTAAGTGCAAGATAATGTTCCAGCTTAAAGCGGCAAAACACCAATTCTATCCATGCAGATTGTTTTAATTTTCAAAAAGATAACAACAGAAAACCTTCGGAAATGCATCTGACAGAAGCGTGTGCAAGGCTACAATAATAAAGATGATGTCATAGTGATGTCATTAGGGTTGTCAGTTCGAGTTTGAAGAGAAGACATTCGTGAAAGAAAGGCTGTAAAATGAGGGCGTGCAGTATGAAGGACGCTCTGTTGAAATTGCATACTAACATATATGCTATTCTTACTATGTCTGAAACAATTGAATGCCTTTTGACTGCACACTATTCGGTTTTTGTCTATCGAGAAATGCCCAAATGAATACTAGATTGGCAAGTAATTCTGAGCATGTGACGTGAGATTATCTGAAATTCCAGCTGCCCTGGAAATGCATTTTGGCTTTTTTAACTGCCAATGGTGGACTACGAGGCGGGTGGCTTTATTACTTAAAGGAGCCCTATTATGCACATGTTCAGGTTCATATTTGTATTTTGTGCCTTTACTGTGAAATGTTTACATGCTTTAATGTTCAAAAAGGTCTTTATTTTTCCTCATACTGCCTGTGCTGCAGCAGAAACCATGCTCTGATTGGTTAGCTGACTGGCTCTGGTGTGATTGGTCAGAAGAATTATAATCAAGGCTTTTCAGGCAGGGGGCGGGGGGGGGAAGTGTGTGGGAGAGAAACTCCTTCTGGAGGGAACTTTGGGATTTTAGCCTTTGCAGACCATTTACGTTCACAAAGACCTATGTAACAGACTACAGGAAAGGGAAACCCCCAAGAGGCATTATAGGGCTACTTAAACATTGTTTAAAAAAAAAAGTAATACGGAAAAATATTTAACTGTTCGGAAGAGGAAATGTTGATTTAAATGTGCGATTAATTGTTTTCATTCAATGTTAGCTTGGACCTGTAACCATCATGTGATGCAGGGAAGATGTTTTCCTTTAGTTTCCTTCAGTGTGCCGGGAATGGAAAACGTAGTTGATGAATATACAGTGGGGCCAAAAAGTATTTAGTCAGCCACCAATTGTGCAAGTTCTCCCACTTAAAAAGATGAGAGAGGCCTGTATGTGTTCATCCTAGGTACACTTCAACTATGAGAGACAGAATGGGGGGAAATAATCCAGGAAATCACATTGTGGGATTTTTTATTAATTCATTGGTAAATTCCTCTGCAAAATAAGCATTTGGTCACCTACAAACAAACAAGATTTCTGGCTCTCACAGACCTGTAACTTCTTCTTTAAGAGCCTCCTCTGTCCTCCACTTGTTAACTGTATTAATGGCACCTGTTTGAACTCGTTATCAGTATAAAAGACACCTGTCCACAACCTCAAACAATCACCCTCCAAACTCCACAATGGCCAAGACCAAAGAGCTGTCAAAGGACACCAGAAACAAAATTGTAGATCTGCACCAGGCTGGGAAGACTGAATCTGCAATAGGTAAGCAGCTTGGTGTGAAGAAATCAACTGTGGGAGCAATTATTAGAAAATGGAAGACATACAAGACCACTGATAATCTCCCTCGATCTGGGGCTCCACGCAAGATCTCACCCCGTGGGGTCAAAATGATCACAAGAACGGTGAGCAAAAATCCCTGAACCACACGGGGGGACCTAGTCAATGACCTGCAGAGAGCTGGGACCAAAGTAACAAAGGCTACCATCAGTAACACACTACGCCGCCAGGGACTCAAATCCTGCAGTGCCAGACGTGTCCCCCTGCTTAAGCCAGTACATGTCCAGGCCCGTCTGAAGTTTGCTAGAGAGCATTTAGATGATCCAGAAGAGGATTAGGATGATATGGTCAGATGAAGCCAAAATAGAATACTTTTTAGTAAAAACTCAACTAGACGTGTTTGGAGGAGAAAGAATGCTGAGTTGCATCCAAAGAACACCATACCTTAATTAAGTTAAAAAATACTTTAAACCTTATTTATCATCTGCATTTGCCGANATGTGTGTCACTGCTGTGGAAGCACTTTGGAAATGATGCAGGCGCAGCGGAGCAGGTCACGCGCACCTGACACAATTTATTTTGTATTGTATTCTATATAATAGAATACAATACAAAATAAATTGTGTCAGGTGCGCGTGACCTGCTCCGCTGCGCCTGCATCATTTCCAAAGTGCTTCCACAGCAGTGACACACATCTATGGATAATCATAGATATATGCAAATGGTTACAAAACAACCATCACTAAACGCCAGCACCACTGCATACTGCAGACAATAGCAACAGGTCAGATGGGGGCATTACATTACCCTCCGTCGTGGACACTAGCTTACTCCCGGCCGACTCGCTGCCCTCGCCCCCGGAGCAGCAGTCCTCGTCGCCAGAAACAACGCCACTGGTGCCAGGGGACCTCGGCAAAACAGAGCCTGCCCAGGTATATCTAAACAAGTACACAATTCGCCTATACGGTGGGGTAAGGCGGTCATTTGCAGCTCGTGGTATATAAATAGACAATGGCTAGAATATTCATGTAAAAAATAGTGCCATATTCTGCCATGCCTGTATAAATGTTGGGTCAAATAATGCATACAATAGCACAGATGCCTTCACCACGAATGGCTACAAAAATATCTCATATCCCAAGCTTATCAACAAGCTAATGTTGCAGCTGAAATGTTCTCCATGTCACAAAGTCAACCTCACATGATGATGTGATACATCAAGCAAAGTAAATA